GACAAGTTCTAACCAGCTAGAATTCAAGTCAATCGCTATTTTCTTCGATTATGAGCTTGATGTTTATTTCTGAAAGTAATCAACAACAAAAACAAAATATTTTGTTTTTGCTGTCGATCAATTACAAAATATTCAAAAAAGTATTTTTTTTAGTTCAAATAATTTAGTCAACAATAATCTGAGAATTCAGTATTTCGTAACTTCCTAAAAAAAAATCCACAGAGAGAAGTCGCTTCTTAGAACTCTCATTTTGCGGGTACTTTGTTTCTGAATCACAAAACAGTTTTTTTCGATCAAATAAACACTTTCTTTATTTCAAATTTTAGATAGCCATAAGCCTGTATCTTTCCGTATGCCAGTTTGCCAGGGTAATATGTTTCAGTTTGCTAGGGTAATATTAATCATATTATAAGTTTTAAATGAACTATTTTATTTTTCACTGTAAAAATAAAATCATTTTTAATCAATTTTTGTGGATTTTATTGGTTTTTTTTTAAAAAAAAAACAACCTGTTCTGATTAAGGAACAAAAATGCTCCAATTTAGGGAAATACTTGCCTTGATTGGAACAAAATGGTGTCTTTGCAAAAACAAATTTGTTTCCAATAACAGTGTAATAAGTTAAATCAAATTATGGTTAAAAGTATTGTAGGGTTATCTGTTTGTATTTATCAAATCATACAGTATTGGATAAAACATTTGCAACAATATCAAACAATCCTAAAAAGTGTTCCTAATTTTACATGTCTTAAAAACGAAACGAACTATACTACCACAGCAAACAGCTCAGAAGTCTGGAGTCATAGCATGCCATGACTGGAGCAATCAGCTGACAGGTGACAGCGCACAGGCAGAATTTCGTTGACAAGTGCCATTTTGCAGTGGACAAAACAAGTGCAACTTTTTTGGCTTGTTTCATTTTCTTAAGTCTGGTCCGTGTCAACGTCACGGAAGTTTTTTAATAATTAAAGGAAGTATCCAGAAGTTTCCAGAAGTTTCCAGAAGCATGCAGAAGCTTCTAGAAGTTTCCAGAAGAAGTATTTGGAAGCATCCAGAAGCATCCAGAAGTATCCAGAAACATCCGGACGCATCCGGACCCATCCAGAAGCTTCCAGAAGCATCAAAAAGAAGCATCTAGAATCTTCCAGAACAGGTTCACACAGGTTCATTTTACTATATAAGAGACATGTAAACCGACATGTAATTCAGTCAGTATATGGAAGTCAATCAGTCAGTATTATCAAGACAGTTTATCGAAGTGAGTTTTATCAAAGTGTTTTATCAAAGAACATCAATACAATAAGTGAAATACAACAAGTTTTTCATTACATCAATACAGTCCACATCCAACCAAGACGTTGTGTTCCACAGAGCATTATTGTATCATCACAAGGTAAATGTAACACGGTAAGCGTTAAGAAGCGTGATTATTTATTTTTATTATTTTTATGGCTTCAAGTGCAAAAATGGCTCCTGACAGTCTTGGATTGGAACTAAGAAAAAAAATTATTGGCGATTACGTAAGTGGAATGTCACAAAAAAGTATTTGTGATAAATATCGCGTAAAAAAATGGACCGTATCAAGACTATGTTCCGAATATCGTTCTACGGGGAAGTTGGCAGCAGATACCAAAAGTGGAAAACCGCGTTCCACCACTTCTAGAGAGGATTCTATGATTGTCAGATTGTCAAGAAGAATTCCTGGATATCATCAGTTGAGATAAAAAGCAATTAGAGCTGCCTGTATCGGACCGAACAATCAGACAACGTGCTGTTGAAGCCGGATTGTTTTCTCGACGTCCTGCAAAGAAACCGCTGATTTCACTAAAGAACCGGAAGAAAAGACTCATGTTTGCTACATCTCATATTGACTAGAATGTGCATAAATGGCAAACTGTCCTGTTCAGTGATGAATCGAAGTTCAACATCATTGGGAGCGATAGTATTTGCCGTGTACGTAGACCGGCCGGAAAACGCCTCGATTTACGTTACTGCCATAAGACCGTGAAGCATGGTGGAGGCAATTTAATGGTCTGGGGGTGTTTATCTGCTAACAGTCTAGGTCCAATACATCGAATCGATGGAATAATGGACCGTTTCATGTATAAAAATATCCTGAAAGGTGTTATGTTGCCTCATGCCGAATGGAATATGCCAATAAAATGGGTTTTTCAGCAAGACAACGATCCGAAAGTAGTCAAGCAGTGGTTTCAAGACAACCACCTATCGGTGATGGATTGGCCACCTCAATCTCCGGATCTCAACCCTATTAAGAACCTGTGGTAGATCGTCAACCGCAGAATTAATCGTGAAAGTGTTCGTAATAAGGATCAACTGTTTGAACAAATCCAAAAGGCCTGGGAAGCAATTCCACAAAGTTTCATTGATCACCTGATCGAATCTATGCCTCGAATGCCTCGAAGATGCAAGGCTGTGATCAACAACAAAGGATTCGCCACAAAATATATTAATAGTGAAATACAGCTTGGTCAACATTTTGTGGAATTGCACTTGTTTTGTCCAGAAGGAAATCAACTTTTTTTTAATACTTTTGATTAATTTATTAATTTTCGTGTACAAATAACGAACTTTGTGATGAATAAAACTTGAAGAACGTTGTCTCTAAACAGTTACATAGTTATTTCTCTAAATTGAAAAAAATGCAGCACTTTTATATAAAGAAACTAAATTAGCATTATTTGGTTGCACTTGTTTTGTCCGATACTGTAAATATTTTTATAGTTAAGCCATCTTTGGTTAATAAAAATTTATTCCTTAAGTGTTCCAATTAAAGCAACTCTCCCCTAATGATGATTGTTGTTAAAAAAAAAATCTTTGATTTCTTATTTTTATGTTTATGTGTCTTTTAACAAATTATAAGTAATTATCTATTAAATTTCCAAAAATTTATTAACTACAAATCCGATTTGGAAATTGTGATGAAAAATTTATATAACTATAAAACCCCTGTGGGAATTGCTATGAAAAACGACTTTCTTTTTGTAAACAAATTTTCGTTTGATTACAACTTATCTATCAATATTCATAGAAATATATATATGTTTTAAGAGTTAACTTAACTATGAAACAGTTTTTGGGGACTGCAATAAAAATTAACTTTCTTTACGTAAACGCGCTATTAAAATCTTTAAAATCTCTAAAACCTCTTGTGCAACTAATAGATCCCCACCAATCAAAAGCCCTAGGCGATTGCCTAACTTGCTTATGCCTAAGGCCGTCCCTGCTTTCACAAAAAGACTTTAATAAGTAATCTTTTTTTTTTATAATTTTATTATCTAAAATATTTAAAATAAAAGTTAAAGGAAATTATTTTTATTAAAAAATAAAGGGAATCATTTTTACTTGATTAATGTATGAGTATGCACAATAATTATTACTTTTATTTATGCAAAAAAAAACTTTTTAACCAATCACAATTATGCATTAAAAATGTAAGTATCTAACTACTGGCTACATCTATTACTAACTTTGGTTGAACTTTCTAGACTTCTAAGACGTTTTCCAAATTTAAAAAGGCACTTCGACCCAGCTGCAGTCCGAGTAAAGGGATCTAAGTTTGTTATGTAATATTAAAACATATTTAAGGATTTATAATGTTTAAACAGATGATTTTTTTGCTGATTTAAGTTTCCCTGCTTAAATCTTAAAACTGGTCCCGTTTTCATGTAATTTTGCAATGGAACCTGGTACATGTTCTACAAAATAACCACAATAATGGACAAGTAAATGTTGTAAATGTTGTACCTAATGTACATTTCAATTTACTTAATTTATAAGCGAGTATTGTTTACTATTTAACACCACGTTTTTTTGTAAAAAAAATAACCAAACCAATTTTGTTACTTGAAACCCTGTGGTTGTCACTGTAAACCCAGTTGTTGCTGCTTGAAATCTAGTTGCTGTTACGGGAAACTCAGTTATTGTTACAGTTACTGGAAGCCCAATTGTTACTGGAAACCCAGTAATCATACACTAAAAATCAAACCATTTAGGAAAATTCATGACAAAATATTTTTTATAAAAACAATTTATTTATATTGCCATTTTTCTTTTTGCCTATTAAAAGTTTTGCTTTAAAAACATATTTTACTGTTGTTTTTTTTTTAATTATTTTAAGTATTGCAAAAATATAATTTTCAAAATTTTAAAATTTTTTTCTATTCAGATGATTTTAGTTTTCAATATAGTTTTTTCTATATATTTTTAAGTCACTTTTTTATAATATGGAGTCATCTAAATATTTTAATGTTTAATCATTGTAGCTATTGGTAATATTTTCGATTTCTGTTATGTGGTTTTTTTTTACATTAAGCTGTGCTGTCCTTCTGTTACAACTGATCTTATAAATTAACTTTATAACAGAAATGTTATGCTTTCAACGTTGTTTGTTTACTTAAAGTCAACTTGAAGTAACGTTATTCAACATCGACTAAAAAACAAGTTAATTAGTTTCCAGTTTTTATATGTGATGTATTTTTTTTTCTTTTATATTTAAATGAAATTTTATAAATTTTTTCTTTTAGATTTATTGTATGACGTATTTATGCATTTACGAAGAAAAAATTGTCAATTATAATATTTTGTTAATATGTAAATGAATTTGTTTCGGGATTGCGGCGCCGGGTTTTTTTTCAGCTAACTGCAAAACTATTTTACATTCCCTGAAAATCAATAAGCAAATGGGGAGGGGTCAGAAAAAACCAAAGAATTAATAGAAGTCCAACCCTGGTTTATTATTAGTAATTTAAAATTAGAAGTTATAAAGTATTTAACGTTGATCGTTAACTCAAAGCCAAAATAAAGTATTATTAATTTCTATCATTTACTTAATGCTATTGAAATAAATAGACTATTTAAAGAATAAGCTTGTATAGGGGAGATGTGGAGTATATATCTAATATGACCCTACCTACCCATAAAAAAGTTTTTTTTTCTCTCAGTATTTTCAATATTCTTTGTAATAATACTAATAATAGATAATATGTTCAAAAAAATACTCTAACAAAAACAAAAACTTTTTTTTTTTACATTTTTGCAGCTCTACCGAATCTTCCTCTGAGATGCGGCTTATTAGACTCTGTAGCAAATCGAGGAAGGATTCGTCCACCGATTTCTCGTCCAAATCGTCCATTAAACCATTGTGCTGCATCTTCTCTGCCATTAGCAAGATTTTCTAGTTCATCTAAAAAACAAAAACAACTTATCTAAATTAACAATTATTTTTTATTAATAAAACTATGGTAAATATACATTGAAATCCTTAATTCGTAAATATACATTGAAATTTCTATGGTATGTATGGTAACTATGGTAAATATACATTGAAAACTATTTCTTGATTGTTTAATCAACAAATAGTAGGAAAAAAATCTCGAGAATAAATCTAGGAATAAAAAATTGTATTCAAAATATTAAAACATGCGAGACAAAGATTTGTACCTTCATATTCGTTTTCGTATTCACTTTCTATTTCATTATCGATGTCTTCATCGGTTACTCTTTTTCCAAATCGTCCTGTCATAAGTTGTTCTCCGTTTTTAATGTTTAAGTAATCGTTCACAATTCTTTTTACATCCTTCCTATCTTCTGCTGAAAAATTTTTTTCTTCCGATTTTGCAACAGCTACAATGATTAAACCCCAAACCAAAAATGTCTCAATTTTATGATTCAACATTTTTATCTATAAACAAATTGAACAATGATACAGCTCTCACATTTTGGGTGATTAATTTCGCCAGTTTATTGGTCTTGCCAATAATCTTGAGTTTTTAAGTTTTTAAAAAGGTAAAAGAAACATTTTTTAAAAATAAATGTTTCTTTTATTTAAACAAAACCTTACCTTCTTTTTAACTTGATGGTGATTGCACTCAGATACTTTTTAGTTTAATGATATTTTTTTTACGGTGATGAGTTATTTAAGTCAACCGAGCGGAAACAACACATATATAAAAAGATTCATTGCAATTTTCTTAACTTTATTAATCCAAACAACAGTATTAAATGATACAACGGTATGAGATTTCTATAAAAATCTCAAAATAAGTGCCAGGGATCTTGACGTCACAAACACTCTTCATTTGAAATATCTCTTCATTAACTTTCTCATTTTCTTTAACACTTTTGTTTTCCTTTGTTTCTTTTAACAAAAACCCGTAAACTTTCACGATATTTAAACTGGGTTCAAAGCTTTGGTATCTTATTGTTTAATTTACTTACTTATAATATGTTATTTTTTTAAAATACTCAATTTTTATTATATGCAGATTTGTATTTTTTATTACAAAAGCTCATCTTAATTGATACAAAATAAATAAATTTTCAAAGCTACATAAGTTGTTACAATGGCCCGTGGTTAGGGCTAACTTAATGCTTTGTTGACGCAACAATAGAGAACGTGTCGAGATAACAATACGCTTTTTTGTGTAATGATTTTATCAATGAGAGGTTTTAATTTTTCAGATTCTGAATTTTTTTACATTTAGTATTGGAAAACAACTTTTTTTTTGTTTAACATTAATAGCAAGTTTATTTGATTTAATTCGTATTTAAACTTTTTCATATGCAATTTTTATTTTTTCAAATAATAAGGAGATGAATACTTATTTTTCAATATGTTTATTTTATTTTTTTATATTGTAATTTTACTTTTCTATATTTTTACAAGTAACTTTTCTGTAAAAAAAACTTTCAGAGATGAACAAGGATAAGAGTTATAATAATTAAAAACTCAAAGATTTTGTTTTCAACTACTAAAAACTTGGTAGCAGATATTGGTTTCAGTAGTTGAAACTTTTTATACGATTGATTTAGATATAAATTACATTGTAGTTTTATATATATATATATATATATATATATATATATATATATATATATATATATATTACTATCAAATTTACATAGATTATATTTTATAGGAAAATCTAAATGTAGAGATTAAAGTATTGACCCAAAAGAACTTCTACAAATAAATTTTAAAATATCCACGTTTATTTATTATTCTTATTTTTTTAATGAAGCGAATGCCGAAATATGATTTAAAATTTTAAATTTTAATCTTCTTTACTTCATAAAAATCCAGTTATTTATACTTTGTTTCTATGATTTATATAAATGTTAACTCCGGTTTTCTAAACTTGCCTCGAGCTTTTTTCCAACTCATCTCCAGTTTTCATGTTATTTATACTACATTTATACTAAATAAAAACTTGACTAAAAAATTTTTATTCAAAAAGTTTTTAAATTGATTTGCAAAAATTTCTTTAATATTAGTCAACAAATTATTTTGATTTTATTATTGGTGGAACTATCATTCAAGGTTATATATATATATATATATATATATATATATATATATATATATATATATATATATATATATATATATATATATATATATATATATACACACAATATGATAAACAGAGCAATAATAAATTATTAAACACACTTATTTAAATTTCTTTCACAGTTTGTTTCACCTTCTATAGGTTTATCAAGGAGATTTAGGTACTGCATTTAAAAATTGGTATACATGTATAACAAAAGAATAATATAATTTAAGAACAGAAAGAAATGTAGAACTATTCTCAGTTCTTAAAATTGTTCATTAAACAAAGTATCACCTGCTTCATTCTATTCAGCTCTTTAAAAATTTTTTAAAAAAGTTTAACAAATAAATTAATTCAATAAACAGCTATTATTTTTATTATTTTTTTTTATTACTTTTTGTTGAGATTTTTCAAAAGTTATAAACATTTTTTAAAAACAGTTTATCAAATTTGTATATACTATTATATAATTTTCTCACAGCCTATAATATTTCACAAGCTTTTAAATTTCGATTGTTTGGATAAGCAAGATTGTTTGGATAAACAAGTCTTCCCTACTACCCATAACTGAGAAAAGATTCAAAATAGGTTTAATAAAAAATAATTTCTTCTTATTTTTTGAAGTTTTTATGATAGAGGGTGCGATAGATAATAATTATATTTTTCTAGAGGATTTTATAGAGTAAAATTTTTACTCTAGAAATAAGATCGGAGAAGAATTAATCAAATATTTCTGGTTACTTTTATACTAATTTTAGCTAAAAGTACTGATTTCAAATTTTACTGATTTCAAATTTTATATAAATATTTTTTCCAGCACATTTTTTTTTTCCCTTCATAATATACCCTTCAGTTAAACACAGCATACCCTTAAGGTATACACAGTCTACCCATCAATTAAAGAAAATTACAATTATTATCTTTACTAAAGTTTTATTTGCATTAAGCAAGTTTACATGGCTTCTTGTTAACACACAAAACATATTTGTGTAAATTAATTATGTTTTTTTCTTATCTTGATATTTGTAGGCTTTTAGAAAATAAGCACATATCTTTACAATGTTTTCAAATTTCTTTTAAGTTGGATTCTTTGGTTTCAAAAATTGACGTTGTTGAGATAAACTTAAATGGGTTTGGTTTTCTTACCTAAAAATTAGTGAAAATCAATTGTTAATCCTAATTCAATAAAACTTTATTTCATAATAAAATATAACCTATAGAAGGTGTGTAAAATATAGAAATAAATAAACTTCAAAGTTACTCCGAATATTGAAATGTGTTATTTGTCGTATTTATAAATGTAAGTAATGGGAAGATCAAAATTAAAACTAATAAAGACTAATAAAAATCTTTGTTGGTTAAGATAAACAAAAAGCGAGCAGCACGGAAAATTTCTTGTAGCGTAGGGCGGTAAAAAAAATATATTAAGCTTTTTTTTTAGTGTTTTCATTTTTTTTGTTTTAAGGTTTTCACTCCTCAAAATAGCAAGCTTCTGCATTCCATGCTAAGTATTCCAAGTATGCTAAGTTCCAAGCTCCTGCATTCCATGCTAAGTATCTTTGTAGATGTATGTTTAAAATTTCAATCAAAAAAGACAAGTTTTAAACAAAAAAGACGAGACGAGGCTTAGGTATTCAGCACAGTGATGCCACCCGCAAAAATATTTAAACTAAGAAAAACAGTTTTTTTTCAAATTCTTTTTAGCCTTAAATCGAAAGTTAGAGTAACAAAAACGCTCCAAAATTTTAAATTTCAAAAAAAAAAATGTTTAAACTTCAAAAAAAAAATTATAAGCTTCCTCAGTTTGACTGGAAATTAAAACCAAAAAAATGCCATCTTTATTTTAGGATGTTGTTATGTTAAGAGCCGTCTTTAACCTCAGCTTGCCCCCTAATTTCTAGAAAAAGAAAAAAACATAATAAAGTTTAACATTGTATTTTTTGTATTCCCAGGAAAAAAAGTTCTATAATGTTTCTATAAACTTTTAAAACATATGGTCTATAGAAATTCCAAAGAACTTTTATAGAGTTACTATAGAATGTCTATTAATTTTTAAAACTTTTTTTTTCTATAGAAAAAAAGTAGAAAAAAAAAAGTTTTATAGGAATTTTTATAGAAACTAACAAAGATTCTATAGAAGTTTTATAGAATTCTATAGAACTTCTATAGGCCATATGTTTCAAAAATTTATAGAAATTTTTTTCCTGGGTTGCTGCCTATATTTTGACTTGATTTAAGTTACTAGGAATTACAAACATAATTACAAAGTACGAGGAATCAAAGTAACAGTGTTTAGCTTTAATACACTTATTGACAACATTTGGTTTAATCAAAGTAACTAATCAGACTGTGATTGAAATAAAAATTTTAAAGGCTGTATGGTTTTTAGAACAAATTAAAATTACCAATTGTTTTCACGACGTCGTTAGCAATGACATTGATAAAATCTTTACATACATTAGCTCATAAATGTTAAGTAATATCGTTACATTTTTTTCAATAAACTAATAACAATGTTATAAAGTACCTATTAATGAGAAACTTTATGATTGAAACCTCTCAAGGTAGCTCTGTCTTCCTGTTTGCCTATTCAATTTTAAACTGTTTCACAAATTTAAAGTCAACTTGGGGACTGGCATTACTGCGGCTGATAAAGGTTAAAACGGGTAGTTATATTTTAACATATTCGTAGTATTACCAAAAAAAAAACATGGACAATATATATATATATATATATATATATATATATATATATATATATATATATATATATATATATATATATATATATATATATATATATATATATATATATATATATATATATATATATATATATATATATATATATATTGAAACGAGCAAGAAATAAAAAAACTGAATGGCGACTTTTTTTTGTTGTTTTATTTTGTATATTATTTGGTTTAACATTTTATCTTGGCTTTTTAACATTTTTATCTTTGTTTATAAATATTTTACCATAAAGGTGTATTATTATTATTTCACTACAGACGTTGTATTTTTATTAAAAACTAACTATATATTGTAAAGGGCCTGATGATAAGATCCTCGTGATCTTCTAGAAGTCCTGTCGTTACTAATGTAAAAATTGTAATATATATTTAGCTATTGTAATATTAAACGGCAAAATATAAAAAAAAAAAATGTTTAAATAAATGTTGGGACAAATACCAATGGATGTAGACTGACCAGATTATTGTTTAATTAGTTTACATGGACATTTTTGGTAATTTGCTCTAAATTATTGGTAGCTCATTAGTAAATTTAAAAGTAATCAATAAGTTTTATTTTTTATATACTTTATGGAAAAAAACAAAAAAAATTTTGTTCCAGTACCAAAAATGTGTTTCTTTATTGTCTCATTTTGCTTTATTATCTAACTCAACTACTTCTGATTTTTACCTTAATTTATTTATGCTCTTCTATAAACTCCCATACTTTTTGTGCATCAATTATGATGCTCTTTAGTTAGCAAAACTTATCTCTGTGGACCTGGTATGTGGCGTCCTTATATCAATTTTCTGAGAGAAGATAAACCACAATACCTAAAATATAGGTATCTTGTAGGTGTCTCAAAGTTAAACAATAGTAATGCTATGGTAGCCTAATGTGGTAATCAGCTAAAGGAGAATAAACCACAATACTAAAATTTATAGGTAATGTTTTATAACCTACAAAAAAAAGGTTTTATAAAGGTATGTTTAAAATAAGCAACATTTGGAGGATAAATGCTCAGCTATACTTGAGACTATATATATCTTTAAAGGATACTTGTAACTCCATTAAGCATGAGATGAGTAATATATATATATATTCATAGTTTTTTTTTTTGACAAAAAGAAAAAAGATTAATTGAAGACTGAAAAAAAAAAGAAACAGCCGACAAAAGCAAAATTGAAATCTGCTGTTGCTACCATCTTAAAAATCTGATATAACTCTTAGAAAAATTATTAAGCGAGTTGAGTTTGCGTTTCCGTCATCCAGAAAAAAAGCAAAAGTTGTATAAAAATACGTAAAATCTTTTTTAGAATCTTCTTGAAATTTTCAAAGATTTTGTATGATTTTGTAAAAACTTAAGTTTACCTTAGTAATCTTAGTAAATTTAACAACTTAGATACCTCAGTTACTTCAGTAATTTTGATTAACTTAGATACCTCAGTTACCTCAGTAATTTTGATTAACTTAGATACCTCAGTTACCTGAGTAGTTTTGATTAACTTAGATACTTTAGTTACCTCAGTAATTTTGATTAACTTAGATACCTTAGTTACCTCTGTAAATTTAATAACTTAAATACCTTAGTAAATTGTTTTAAAAAATGTTTTAGACTATTTAGCGTAGTTTAGGGTATTCATTGAAATTTACACAGAAACTTTCAACAAAATTTTCAACTTAGACTATCATTATCTGTTGTTAAATAAATTAAACCTAATTTTTTTAAAACTATTTCTGTTTGTGAAAAAAAAAAAAAAAGATTATAGTAAAACTTTTTTTTGTTTATTTAGAAATTAAAGTTTCTACGGACGTATTCGAAGTTTTATTGCGACTTCGCTCAGGCGTTATGAATCATGTCTTAAAAAATTATGAAATATCTAAAATCAGAAAATTATTATAAATTAAAAAACTAGAACTTTTGCAAAAGGTTTAAACCGGATAACTTCCTGAAAAACATGTTTTTTTACTCAAAATTGTAAGGTTCTTCACTTGTAGAAGTACTCGATTAAAATGAGGTACTGACAGTTGTAGTTCATTTTTTTCAATTTTCTTTAGACCTTTTCTATTGTTTAAACGTATTTGCAATATTTATAATAATTCCAGCACGGAGCGTAGTATAAACTTAAAAATAGGATTCAAGAACTCGAGGTTTCACAGGTCTGTATATTATAGCTAAAATTAACATTCTAAAATACCTAACTTTTTATTACTTTATTATATTAAGTTATATAACATGTATGATGATAATAACAAAATATTAATATTATTAATAAATAGAATTATTATTAAATTATATATTAATATAAGTTATATAACATATAAGAAAATAGAATCTTGTAGGCTTTTTATGTTTTAAACCAATATTCAAAAGATTCCTTTTCCAAATAAATGTGTTATCCTAATAAATCTGATGACTTATTATGCAGACCACATAACACGGAAATGTCTCCATTGTTTAAACTAATAAACAACTAACGAAAATTTCTTAAAAAACACCTTAGGTAAGCTGAGTGCATTTAAATATTAATTTGAAATACTTTGTTAAAAATGATGAATTGCTAAAAATGATGAATTCATGGGCTGGACAATTCATAACTTTTAACAATGTATTTCAAATAACTTTTTTAATGTACTCTTCCCCCTCTTAAAAAAAAAAAAAAATTTATATTTTTTTAAATATTTTTTTAAAACAGTGTTTAAATAGGTTTAGTTACAGTGGTATTTCATAATAATATTCTTCACAACTTTAGACTTCTACCAAATCTTCCTCTTAGATGTGGTTTGTTCAACTCTTTTCCGAATCGAGGTAGAAACCGCTCACCCATTTCTCTTCCGAACCTTCCATTAAACCATTGAGCAGCGTCTTCTCTTTTATTTACAAGCACGTGGTTTTTTAGTTCATCTAAAAAAAAAAATTCCTATCATTCCACTTAATTTTATAATTATAAAAGCCTCGGTGAATATAATTGGTATGCTCGTAAAAATAAAAAAAGTTAAAAAAAAAAAAATTAAAAAAATGATACCACCATATTTGTTTTCATATTCATATTCCGCTTCATTTTTGAAGTCGTCCTCTTTATTGGTTATTTTTTTCATAAATTTTCCTCTTGTGAGTTGTTCTGCGTTTTTTGCGTTTAAGTAATCTTCTATGATTCTCTTTATATTCTTGTTATCTTCTGACAAATGATTGTTATTCTTGTTATCTTCTGACAAATGATTGTTATTGTCAGATTTTACAAGAGCTACAACGATTAAGGCCAAAGCAAAAAAGAGTTCTACTTTTCGTTGGTTCAACATTTTAACCTATTAAAAAACAAGTGACAACTTAACTTAGCTTTTATTATTTTTTAAATAAATGGTCTCAAAACATTTAGAAAAAAATAATAAAAATATCATGAATATATTTTTTATCAGTCTACAAAATATTACCATTAACACAAATAAATCTTCCACTCAATTTGATTTTGTGCTTCCTCTCTGATACACTAGCTTTATTTTTATTATTTGGGGGATGGTGAGTTATTTAAGCTAACTAAGTGAAAGCAACGTATATATTAAAAAAAAGCCATTGTATTTCTTTAACTTAATACAAAGTTTAAAATTGAATGATACAACAGATTTCTTTACAAATTTAAAATTAAGTAACAGGGCTGCAGGTGTCATCCATTTTAATTGCTGTTATGAGAATACCTTGGAAATTCATTCGTACTCTCTTCTTTTTTTTACTTTTAATAAAAAAAAACCATATGTCAAGATAGCGGTTGTTTGAACTCTGTTTATATATCCGCTTTTTTGCATAATTTAATTTACTATTTAAATAGTTTAATTTTTCAACTCATAATCATCATACTTTTATCATTGTACTTAAAAAAAACATTTTTTTTTTGAAGCTGCAAGCTTGGAGTTATGATGACCCATCGTTGTTAATAAATACTTGACGTCAGTTAGATTTTTATAGAAGATTAGTAAATGTTAATCAAGTTTTAACAATAGGAGATTGTGTAACGGGCATGATCATAAAAATCAAAAATTTATTTCTGGAATATTAAGATGCACACAAGCACCAGTGCAGGTTATGCAAAGGCAAGCATTAAAAAATAGTTTGGATTGTTTGCTGAATCAATTGATAACAACATTAAAGTTGATTGCCTGACCACCAATTATTCCTTGAAATCTGATATCTAGATATATAGTACCATTTATGCATTATCTCAAGTAATTAGAAAAGGGTTTTTTAAATTAGGTAAGATTGTATAGTGCTTAAAAAATTAATAAAGTATAAAGATTATTTGATTGTGGTTTGGTTAGATGTTTATTTGATTTTAAATGAAAATCACCTTTAGATTAGGATGTACTGTCTTATTATTATTATTATTGTTTTTCTATTCAACCGTAAAGTATACAAAAAGTAATCGTAAATTTACAGAAGTTGGTCACCCTTATACTAATCCGTTATTTAAACTCTGAAAAAAAAAAATATTCATAAAGTTACTCATTGGTCATTAAATTGACACCTAAAAGTAGTCATTAAAGTGTAACACCTTCTAATATCGTTAATTTAATTATATTTACTGAATTAAAACTCTGTCTAATTTAGTCAATATATTTAAATTAAAATACGAATTTATGCTATTTACTAAAACTAACAATTGTTAATGGCAAATTCTTTTATAAATAAATTTGTTTTTGTGTTTTTGTCATAACTTTGTTTGTTTGTGTATGACATCATTTTGGAATTGAGCAGCCTCGACTCAGCGGTAAAACATCATATACAGTATCATACTATTTATATCTATTTTATGCGGTATTTCGGCTCATATAGCAAACCCATTATCAAACTAATAAAACCGTTAAAAAACCCGTTTAAAAAACGAACGTTATGTTATCGTAATGTTTATAAATTTTTGTTATTTTACAGCAGTTTTTTAAAAAAATGATATCATTAAAAACATCAGATATTCAATATTTTTTAATTTAAAAAAAAATGATTTCCAATCGTGAGTCATCACCTGCCATTATCACGTTTTCTTTAGATTTTGAACATTGCCGGCGTTGTACTTCAATGGTCTCACGATTTTTCCTTGTTGAACGGTTTTTTTAACGGTTTTATTAGTTTGATAATCGCTCTTATTAAATGAGCTAAAATACGACATAAAAAAGATATAAATAGTATAATACCATATGTATGTATATATATATATATATATATATATATATATATATATATATATATATATATATATATATATATATATATATATATATATATATATATATATATATATATATATATTGGGGGAGACCCAGCAAGTTTAGAAGACCTATTTGCAAATTTAGTTGCTCCTTTAGCAATTTTATATTTTTTTTCTATTTAGTAATGGTAAAATTTTATGAAAAATTAAAAGTTTGAAAAATTATATATATATATATATATATATATATATATATATATATATATATATATATATATATATATATATATATATATATATATATATATATATATATATATATATATATATATATATATATATATATATATATATTTATATATATATATATATATATATATATATATATTATCTTTGGTGCTTTAAAAAAACCTGACAGTCTTGTCACAGAGCACCGCGGAAGAACATTTACCTAAGATATTTACGCCTCCTTCTTACCTATGACGCATAATTACATAAGTAATCTACAATAAACACGTAGCGCATTATCTTTTTATATATAACTAATAATTATAATAATTTTTCATTTTATTCATTTCTCTTTTGATTAAGAAATTATTTTCTTTTTCTTTTATGGTTCTTTTTGTTTTCGATTTTTTTGATCTTTTTTTTTTTTTTTTTTGTTTTTTTTTTTTGTTTTTCAATTTTTCTTTTTCTTTACATTCAATACCGTTTATTTATTTTTTAATTTTCCATTTTCTTTTTCCGATTTATAATATCTCTTATAAATAATATAAACTCTAGTACTACCATACATACCACTGTTACACAAATAGATTTTTTTGGATTACTAAGTTTAGTTTAGTTTAAAAATATAAAGAATGTAAATACATAAGAAAATAAATGACCGGAGCAATTAGTGCTTCATCAAATTTTGTGTTACCTTACTTTGATTTTTTTTTTCAAACATCATTATTGATATGACATTGATGATATAAATAAACATTACATGTGATCCTAGTTTAAGTTTACTCCATAAATAGTTATATATATTTAACTAAATAAGTGCTATTGTATATATATTTAACTATAAAGACTATAAATATAACAATATATTTTTATTTTGTTAACTAAAAATCACTCATAAAACTTAAGACTCTAGTAAATTAGGACTTCGAAGTCTTAATTTCCCGGTAAATTTTGACTTTATGAGCCATATTTTGTTGGAAAGTTACGATCGCAACGGTAAATTAGGACTATAAAAAGTTTGACTTACAAGATGGAACCGATAACATCGTAGTCATTCACATTCAATTACATCAAAGTCATTCACATTTAAAATGTTTTGAGAAAGTCTTTATTGATCACTTTAAAAGGTTTTTATATAAAGCGAAGTATACAAAAATTATAAAATAAAGTTTTAGATTTATTTATTGATAGTTTAGATAAAATAAAATGCCTAAAGTTTTATTCTTCGCTTCATTTCAAAAATTTTCGAAGTGATCATTAAATACATTCTCTAAATTTTTAAAATGTGACTATACCTTTTCACCCCCGAGGTCTTCAAATATTCCAAAAATCTCATTACTTTTTTAATTAGTAAACAAAACAAAGAGTTTTCACAAATAAACAATTCACAAGTCACGTGTCCTGCTTCATGGCGAAGGAAAGCGTTTTGATTTTGATCAAGTTGAATAATTATTTCAAAATGAAACTCTTTTACTCTACCTACCCGTGATTATGGATTTAAATCAAAGATATTAGAGACGTGCACCGAGGTATCGAAGATTCTGAACGCTATAAGGCAACGCCCTTGAATAGAGGAAGAAACAGTATGTATAACAGACAAGATTGCACAAGTATTTTTTTAATAATGTTGCTGACGTCAGTGAGTATTTTAAGAGATTATTTTTGGCACAGCAAACAGTGCCAAAAATAATCTAAAGTTTGCAAAGGTAGAATTAAATCATTACCAGCACCATTAAGGTTAAATCAGCTTAAACTATCGCTCAATTTTAGCATGGGTATGTGTTAGCATGGGTGCTTTAAAATCTAAACCAATGACAAAGTTTGGAAGTTCGTAAACACGGTATATAAACAACTGCATAGATAAACTGGAGAAGAACAGAGATTAATATTTGCTTGCCTTTCTCAGTCAAATTGATTGGTAGAACGTTAAAACCAAACAATAAAGAACTCTTCGATAAGAGTTTTGGAAGGTAATCCTAAAATGTGTCTGTAAATCATTAAGGCTGCTCTTTTTGCTCATTGCGTTATTTGACATCTTCTAAAATCTTTTATCCACTCATGCTGATGTATAACATCAAATCAGTTTTTTTTTCAAAAACCTGTTTGAAAGCGCATCTTTAAACCTCTTGAAAAGAATGCCAGGTTTAAAGTAACATTTTGAGCCGTTGATAATCATTTGTACCGTTGATAAGCAGATTGATTGTTGTAGTTGTGGTATTTTTGCTTTTGATTATGCTAGTATTTTGCTCACTCTTACCTTTTCCTAATGCATAACCACAATTATTAAATTGGTTATCACTTACAAATAGACTAATATCATATAAGTTATTATTGTACCGTTTAAAGATAGTAATCAAATCTCCTCTAGTTAATCTGTACTTCATACTTAGAGCCAACAATTATATTTAGTGCCAACAATGTTTTTTTATAAGATTATTTAAGCCTTTGATTCGTTTTGAAGCTCCTTTTAATACATTTTCTATTTGCAGTTACCTTGAAGAACCTGTGCGTTACAAATCGATCCACAGTATTCTAAATGAAGGCGGGATTGAGCTTTTTGAAAGATGATTATTTTTAATAAGATGAAAATGTTCTTTTTATTTTTATTTTACCTATTATTTGCTTTGTTGACTTAAATAGAAGTGTGTTTTGAAAATAGTAAATTCAAATTAATATGAACACCTAAATTCCGTTCGCATTTAGCGGGTTTAATCTTTACATTTATACTTTGTTCTAAATCATTCATAGTACAAGTATGCTATTTTTTGTTGTGTCCTGTGTGTGTCCTATGTGTGTCCTATGTGTGTCCTATGTGTAGTACAGAGCATCAATATTTTTTGTTGTGTCCTATGTGTAACACAGAGCATCAATATTAAACATCAATCCTCCTTTTGAGACCATACAATAAGAGCGTCAATATCGTTTTGTAATTCTTACAAAGATTGAAAATTTTTAAGAGAATGGAAGATTTTAATATTATCATCAAAAAGAGAAGATTATATGTATTTGATTATTTCAGAGATTTATCGTTGACATATATAATAAAAATAAAGGCCGAAAGGACATAAACATTGGGGAACTCCACTTTCATCGGACACCCAGTTTGAGCAGTTGTCATTTACAACTACTTGCCTTCGTTTTTCCAGAAAGTGTTTTTTCATTATAGAATTAATCCATTTATATCATAAGCTACAAATTTAGAAATAAGAAATTTGTGTGGAAACCTTGTCAAAGACAAAATTGAGGTTAATGTTATCAGTGGGAATATTATCATAAAGTGATAGGGTACAATAACCAAAGTTAGAAGGCCAGTTAAGCAGATATCCATGTTTGGTGCAGACTAAATAAATTGTTGTTAATTAGGTGTGTCATAATAAGTTTTTGTAATACATTTTCAAAAATTTTGATTGAGGTACAATTTATACTAATAGGTCTATAATTAATTGTCTCATTTTTTAAATATAGGTGAAATTATTGCATCTTTCCATATATGGTTTACTGAAACACTTTTAAGGATTTTGTTAAAATTAGTAGATAGATGTTTAAACATCTGAAAGCTAGTTTTTTTTTTTTTTTTTAATATTAATGGATTTAATTTGTCAAGGCCTGGATTTAAATGAGTTTTGATTTAAAAGGTATGTTGCAATATTTTCTGGACTTCAATCGATATTGTTTAAAAAGAGATACTCATTTTAAATGTAAGGCCAACTAGAGGTATCACTATATTTTTTGTTTGTTTATTTGAAATAGTATTAACAAAATAACTGTTGAATAGATGAAGTTTATCTAGATTAGAAGTTGCAACAATCCTATCGTAGGAATTGTCTCTTTGTTTTTTTCTTTTTGATATGAAATATAATCAAAATGCTTTTAGATTTTGGCCTATGTTTTTAGCAAGTTTTTTTTTTTTGAATTCCATAGTTGCATTTCTGGACGCTCATTTATTTTTGTTTCGTGAAATTTTGAGCGCTTTATGTTTTTAAAGTTAAAATTTGGTTTTTAAAAATGTTAAGGTTTAGTTGTAACAACTGTTGCAAACAGTTGCGAAGTGCAGTAATAGTAGATATTGCATTGTAACAGCTCAATTTGTTTTTTGTTTATATATAGCAAATAGTTTTTGCAAAATTCTGATTTGTCTAGTTTATTTTTAAAGTTATTTATTAAAGTAGTTTCTATTATTTCAGATGATAAGTTGTTCTGTGCATTTACAACTCGGTTTTGTAAAAAGTGATATCTGAGGTATTTCTACAAAAAGGTTTTTTCAGTTTGAATTTGTGTTGTCATAAATAAAGACCTTTTGATGTATTTTGATATTTATTTTGAACCCAATTTATTTTATCATGGTCATATTAAATTTTAAAATGTTGAATAAGATCTCCACGTTCTTCTGGTGTCGTTATTTGCATAATATTTAACCTAGCCTCATAAGATAATTTTTAATTGTCGATGCTCGTTCGGTTGCTCTTTTTTGGATCATCTCAAGTTTGTCTGTGTCTTGTTGTAGGAATGGAGACCATACCTGGACTGCAAACTCAAGATGTGAACGTATGAATCTTGTATAGAACTTTTTTATACTATGTTTACGTCTAAATTTTTAAATGTTCTCTTTATGATACCTAATATTTTGTTTGCTTTGCTAGTTACTGAATCAACTTGTGAGTGCCATTTTAGATCCGAAATCACGTTCAGCTTCTGTATTACATAATGTATAATTGTAATTGCAATCAATATTAGTCATTATAAATATAGCATTTGAATTTTTTCTTCCGATAGGCATAACTTTGCATATTATATAGGAAAAGGTTCAATAATTCTCTATTTGGAGAGCTTAATACTATACTATAATACTAATTAGGATAAATGACAATATTATATATATAAAAGCTTCCCTAAAGTATCTTTGAGAGAACAAACTCTACCTTTAATTTTTAGTTGATTGTTAATATGTTGACTGAAGTCAACATATTGGGATTTTTAGTCAACATTCTGGGATTTTAGTATTATTTCATTTTCATGTGCTTATGTGGTTGAACGATTAAGACAATTGCAATTTAGTTTAAGTTCAAAATCATAGAAAATTTCATTGGTCCAACGTATGTAAAAACATTGCAAAAGTTGGTTGTTTTTCCAATCTAAACCCAACGTTGGTTCAATGTATAGAGATCAACGTTGATCCAATGTTTATAACCCAACTTTAATCCAACGTGTATGAATTAACGTTGGATTATAAACAGTGGATCAACGTTGCTCCATATGCATTGGAATAACATTGGATTATATATAGTGGATTAACGTTGTGTTTGCATCGAGAAAAAGCAGATATTTAAATAGATGTTTGTATAATTTGTAAGGATTTTTTTTTATCTAAATATTTTAGTTGATTATGGAAATATATTTTGCTAATATATTTTTCTCTTTCGTATATAACAAAACATAAAGCCACAAGCAAAACAAACACGAGCTGTCTTTAATCAAATGCATTAATATAGTGTATAAGCATTAGTTAAGTAAAAAACTAATGTTTATACTAATACGTTTATTTACACTTAGTTAATAGAATTAATTGCACTTTTTAGCATCTAGTGCAATATCAGTCCGCCTTCACTATCTATCTCTCTTTTTTATACGCTATCTTTCTAACTCGACTTCAAGAATTGTTAATATCAAAATTACAAACGAGTTCTACAGCATGTGTAAAAACAAATGATTTAATTTAAACTCTTACAGACCTAAGTAACAGACTCTAAGTAACAGACCTGTATAAGATGCTTTTCACGGTACTACAACTCTACAGATTTTAGATTTCGTTAATTATAAATGGTGTAAAGGATATTATATGCTATGTCATAGCATATATTAATTTACATAGTGTATGAATATTTTTTTCTCAAACCAAATGTTAAAAAGGTTGTGAAAAAATATGTGAAATATAATTTTGTTTTTGGAGATAAGTTGGCTCTTTTGGAGATAAGTTTGCACTTTCGGAGATAAGTTGGCTCTTTTGGAAATAAGTTGGCACTCTGCTACAAATGTTATCTAGTTAAGATTTTACCTTTGAACCAAAAAGACATTTAAGACAGATAATTTTTTTTTTTTTGCTTGTAAAATATTTGCATAAATAAAAAAAAAAAAAACTAGAATTAGAAAAAAGACAAACCACATGAAGAGAAAAATTATTTTTATGTTTTTTTAAATTTGCCGTTGATAAGGGATAAAAAATAGAGACAACTGCTTGTCCTTAAGAATAATCTTCAAAAGTAAATCGTTTTATTAAATTTTTGAAATTTTTTTATTTCTTAGTTTACTTGTGTTTATTTTATTTATACCACTTAAACCATTGTTGTAATTGTCTAAAGGTACAACAACTTTATTTATTTCACATCTTCAAAAATAATGTTTTTTATTCTAACCATGTAAAAATTAAATAGGATTTCTAGAGACATGAACTTATTTTCCATGTTTTGTGAGTGTTACAAGTTATATTGCACACAAAGCAAATGTTTTCAATTTTATTTTAAACAGGTTCATTAATAAAAACAACATTTTTTCAATTAAATTATATGTGTTCATTAAAATATTTTAATAAAAACAACAAATTTTTACAACTTTGCTATTCTACCAAATCTACCTCTATAATGGGGCTTATTAAATTCTCTTGCAAACCGTGGGAGAAATCGTCCTCCAATTTCTCTTCCGAACCGTCCGTTAAACCACTGAGTAGCAACTTCTTTGCCAAAACGTCCCCCGAGCCACTGGTTTTCTTTGCTTGCTGCATTATTGTCATTTTGTCTTCCAAATCGTCCTCGAAGTAGTTGTCTTCCATATCTTCCATTAATAATTCCCTGACTCTCTGTTTCGTCTAAATAATATTAAATCAAAATATTCAACGTATCTTAACAACGTTACAAATGGAACATAATGTGAAAATAATCAAATTACGGTCAGAGATCAGTAATCAAAAAAGTAGTTAGATGAAACAGAAAAATTTAAATTGTATTAAGAAATTGAACAGAAATTATTACCATCATATTCATTATCATATTCATTTTCTACTTCATTATCAATGTCTTCTTCATCGGGTAAGCTTTTTCCAAAACGTCCAGACATAAGTTGTTCTTCACTTTTAGCGTCTAAAATATCTTTTATAAATCTTTTTACATCCTTGTTAACTTCTAATGAAAAGTTTTTATCGTCAGATTTTACAACTTCTACAACAATTAACACCAAAGCAAATAATAATTCGAATTTTTTATAGCTCAACATTTTTACCTATAAGCAAACAAACGAACAAGTCAGTTACTGAATATAATACTCTCATTTTACATATAAGATATTTCATATAACATTTTTCATCATTCAACAAAGTATTACCTTTTTAGCTGGACCTTAATTGATTGCCTGCTCTATGGTCTTCTTTAAACTTATGTTTTTATTTTTACAAAGAAGTAGTATTTAAACTAACCGAACGGAAACAACACATGGTTGAAAATTTTCTTAATTTATTTTATGAGCAAAACAACAGCAATGAATGACACAACGGCAAAAGTTGTTTATGGAAAGAAAAAAGTAACATGAATGCAGGTGTCATGATTTTTCCTGATTTTAAACGTTATAATGAAATTACCGATAATTTCTTTCAATAATTTCTTTGTTTTTTAACTCTCTATTTGATTTTTTATTCGCAGACTAGTAAATAGTCTAGCATAACTTAATTAACTCTTGACTTAATTAAATTTATTTTGTTCTCAAACAGTTTTAATGTTTCTTTTAAATTAGGAAATTTATCAAACGATAAAATTACTACTTTGTAAATAAACTTTCTTGGCGTTACAACTTTACATGGTTGCTTATAAAAAGTTATTATTGATTTTGTTAATAATTTCTATTTAGTGGTTGGTCTCACGTTGACCCAAATTTCTATAAAGTGGTAGGAGCTAAATGGCCAACTTCTGTTTACGTTTCCATTAAATACTTGTTATGATAACTATGGTTTGCTAGTCTGTTATACAGAGTATGTTGCTAAGTTACGTGAAATTAGATGCTTCTAAAAATTTTAAAAAATTATTGCCCCAAATTTGTAAATAGTTACTTTAAATCATTTTTTAGTTTTATTTCTTTTATTTTTGTAGACACACAGGTTAAATATTATTTATCTTGATTCATAGAATACAAATACGATTAACCCTCAACCTTTTTAATGAAAAACTCTGAACATGTGTTAATTGTTCCTTATAATTGTTTCTTATAATTGTTACTTATAATCTGATATTGTTATTATCTTAACTGGACTATATTGTATTTTTCGTAGACGCAAAAAATGTTCTGATGCCTTTAGACAAGACGGCGTAGAATCGTTATTTCCAAATGTGTAAAGACGTCTTTTACAGACGTTTTGAGGACGTTTCTTACTGGTTAGAAGTTAGATCAATTAGTACAACTAATATTCGTCTTAAATATTATAATTTAAGATATTTATTTTGCGATGCTAAAAGTAAAAAAGTTGGGAGTATTTACATTTTATCAAAGCTGAGGACTAAAAATACTGTTAGCTCTGCCATCTTTCCCTAATCACGTGACCAGATGATATATTTATAAATTTTTGCATTTTAAATACAGTATACTGTATTTAAAACTGACGGGGTGTTTGTCAAGGGTAGCAAAAATTTACTTCAAATAAACAAAATTTCGAACTACTGCAGGTTCGAAAAACTGATGGATATTTGAATGAGTTTGAGGAAAATTCATAGAAAATGAAAATTTCCCCTGAACTTTCTTTAAGTGTATACCCTCCCGATTGTTCGAACTGACGCTTATTCAAAGAAATTTTCATTACCCGTTAATTTTCCTTAACAAACTCATGCAAATAATCATCAGTTTTTTAAACCTGCAGTTATTCGAAATTACGTTTATTCGAAGTAATTTTTTACTCCCCTTGACAAATACCCCGTCAGTTATTCAAAAATTTCCTTTGGTATAAGATACCATTGCATTGCATTTCGAAATATAACTTAATCGAATGCTATCAAAATATATGTATGTATATATGTAAAAAAATAACATTATCAAAATAAAAAAAAAATTAAACACATTTATCGTAGCGCAATGAAAGTTTCAACATGGCAATAGAATGCAGTACCATATACGTACCATATTGGGGGTGGAGGTTGTCGGTTGATGGATGCGATTGACCCCCCTCTTTTTATAAATCCGCTTTGTTTCACGTAAGTTTTATAACAAAAATTAAGCAAAAATTTTATTGGATACTCTAAACTGCCTCTGTTTTTCAATCCCCCCCCCCCCCCCCCACTCTCCTCCACCAAAAAATAAATAAATAAATAAAATTAAGTAAAATAAAATTTTCACGGCACGGGCCTGAGCACTGACAATCAATAATCATAAAGTTTCTAGTCAATTTGGAACTAAGAGACAAAAATTAACATGATTCCGTTGATGAAGAAAAATTGTAAAGATTTTTATTTTTTTAACTTTAATTTGTTTTTTAAAAGGTAAAGATTTAAACATCTTATTCTAAAGTTTTACTCTACTTCTTTTAAAATTTGATACATAAAATAACTTTAAAAAAGATTTTCAGTTATTCAAACTTTTGGTTATTGGAGTCTACTGTAGCCGACAATTTTGCAAAAACTATGGGTTTTCAAAACTTTTGTCTTGTAAATAAAGTTTATTTTATATAGTTTTCAATATTTTAGTCATTATTAATAAAAAACTAACTGATACTTTAAATTAACGATTAACTTTTAAAAATTGATTGATTATTCAATTAGACTTATTGAATGGCAAATATTTGATCTTGTGTTCTAGTAAGTAAACATTATTACCAGTCCAGTCATCTATGTACACTTTTCGGTACCAGGCCAGTCATCTATGTACACTTATTGCGAAAAGTCTTTAAAAGGACAAGCTTCTATTACATTTGCTTGACTCAAGTATTAGTAATATTTTTTGTGCCGATCTGTGACAAAATGCATATTTACCATTGCTGTGATGTTTCTGAACGAATAGAACTAAATAGCTTGGTTATTACATTTGTTGAGGTACCCTCCTTGGTGACACCTATTCACATCTAATACTTTAACAATTTGAATAAAAAGTAAACGGAAAAAACACAACTTTAAATTAAAAAAAAAGAAAAAGAAAAAGAAGAACACTTTAATAAACTTAAATAAAGAAAAAAAGAATCAGAAAGTAAAATAAAGTAAACATCTAAAAACATAAGGAAAGAGGAATAGGTAAAATGACTTTAAAAGAAACAAAAGTATAAATGAAGAGTCGATCAAATAAAAATAATTTTCAAAAGGATTGAAAAGTTTTGTTTTTAAGCGCCGCTTTAAATATTATTTAAAAAAGTAACTTCATCATGAAAATTAATAATTACTAGTTTTCTTATAATAACTAATTTTTTAAAGTTGTTTTTTTTAAACAAAATTATATGTTATTATTAATTGTTATTATTTAAAGTAACTTAAAATTGGCACATAAAAACGAAATTGGTCATATCCGTTTTAAAAAGAAACTCTTTAAATGAAGAAATAGAAGATTGGTTGTTGTTTTACTTTTTTTTACATTTTTTTTGTTTTTTATTTTTTTACATTTTATTTTGTAATCATTATTTGTTATTGTAATAATTACTTAGTCATACTAATTTTAATATTATATGCTTCTTCATTTCATTTTTATAGTAATTTACTTATCTTTATAATTCTTTTTGTGTTTATATTTTTATTTTTTGTATAATATAATGCGTCGCCGTTTAAATATTGCTACAATTTATTAATGTAAAAATAAAAATTTACTTGGCAAGGGGCAAAAAGACAATCTTGACACATTTTAATAAAAGATAATGAAAACCGCAAGATGTACAAAATGAAAATTTAAATGTAAGAGCCGATTTTGAAATAAAATGCTATAAAAATAATTATTTGTTAAAGTAATTAATCCATAATTATCAAGTTATTTTTACGCTGTTTTAAATTGATAATAACAAGAACAAAAAATAAGCGAACCAGGTATAAGGAAAAAAATAGATATAAAAATAGAAAAAAATAGATAGCATATGGAAAAAAATAGATATAAAAACAGAAAAAAATACATAGCATATGGAAAAAAATAGATAAAATGATTAATAATAAGATATTTAATAATATCTTAATGATGTTATTAAATATCTTTAAGACATTATTAAATTTGTTAAAAGAAGTTTTGATGTCGTTATTAAGTTTAGCACTCAATAATTCAGGTCCTTTATTTGCAATAAAAAATTTAGTAACTCGGATTCACGCATTTGGCAAACAAATAACCTGCTTGCTAACGACTTTTTTTGAATGTTTTGCCTTTTGATTAAGATATAGAAATAAGTATAGAAGATATATATGCTCCCAGAAGTGCGGAACGCCTTCTTCCTTACCAATGTCGCCTATTGGGTTAGAGCCGGCGTCGAATCTCGGACCTTTTGGTTCCGAACCAGAATTTTAACTACTGCGCCACGGTTGCATAACTTAAAAAATTGTTCCAATAAATGTATTTACAGCAACTTTTTAAAAATACCTAGTACTTAATCTTTTTCGTCGATCTCATAAAAGAAAACGAAAAATCTACTTTAAAAAAAGGTACTCTTTAAAATAGCAAAAATTTTGGTCCCGATATCTTCTTAAATTTTTTCTTTAAATGATTCTTCGCATAATCTTCAAACCTTTATGTATTATGATAAACAATACTTTTAAAAATGATATTTAGAATTTTTTGAGATTAAACAAAATTGGTTCTCGTCTGGAAAATCCTCTTCAATTATCAACCCATTTCTATTCTTTTCAAATTAAGTAAAATATTTAAAAATGTAATGTTCCACATACTCAATTCATGCATTACAAGAAACAAAAGAGAAGTGTAAACAAGCCTTTAAAAGCAAACACTTTGCATGTAGAATTTTTATTGACATAAGATAAACATTTGTTACAAGTTGATAACTCAATCTATTTCCTCAAACCACGGCATTGTTGCAACAAACATTGTTGCGACAAATATTGTTGCAGCAAACAATGTTGCGACAAACATTGCTGCGATTATAACACTGCTGAATTAGAAGTATTCCTTTTTGTAATAGCATCTTGGTAAAATAAAAAATTTTGTTTGGACTTATGGTATCAACCTAAAACTAGATAATTCTTTTGATGGTGTTGACCACAAGACTCGGTATTAGAACTTTTTTTTTTTTTTTATCAATTTTCTGAATGTTCAAATTAAATTTTCTACCGATTACCACTTTTGCAGATGACACTAACATGCTCCTAATTTACAAATCACATTAAAAATCTAACAATAAGTTAAATCATGATCTAATCAACTTTGTTCAATGACTGCACTCTAATTAATATCCCTTAACTTTAAAAAAACATGAAATTATCAAATTTAAATTTTTCAAATAAATAACTAAGTTTCGGTTAAAAAAATAAATCTTGTCAACTCTTTACAAACATCTTGGAATCAAAATAGATTTTAATAAATCCGTTGTTTCACTTCATAACTTTTGAAATTATTCGAATTGAACGACTTATTGATCACGTTGAATTGATCAGATGATTGAGCAGAACGCTGACCAATGAATTGATGAGATGATTGAGCAGAACGCTTACCAATACTCGTCATTACGTCAATCATGAAACTTTGCTTACTAATTCCTTTTCCGTCAAAAATCTTTTAAAGCGCTCTCAAAACTGGGTTCTTTAACTACTTTTCATAAAAATATTGTTTCCAAATCCTATCTTAGAACAACTTATATTTTATAATCTTAATTCTAAACTTCTATTAATCTTCTATTGTTATATTCTGTTATTATTATTTTATTATTCTTCCATTGTTCTCTTTTCGAATGTGCCATAATACTTACTTAAATATTAATACTTTTATCTTGCTTAAACTGAATTAATTTTATTTGTATTCTTATTATCAATATTATTGTAACAACTGTTATATTAATTACTATAATTATTAATAATATACTTTTTATAAATATTACTCATATTCCTATCATTGTAATTATTGCTATTATTTTTTGATGTTGTTATTATTGTTACCATTACTGTTAGTACATTTATTATTCTTAAATTTGATTTGTGTTTACTTAAAATTACTATTTATAAATATCCCTGTTGTAAGAACTTTTTTTTTTAATTTTGTCTAATATGTAAGTATATATATATATATATATATATATATATATATATATATATATATATATATATATATATATATATATATATATATATATATACATATATATATATATATATATATATATATATATATATATATATATATATATATATATATATATATATATATATATATATATATATATATATATATATATATATATATATTTGTTTTCAAAAATTGTTTTCATAAAAAATTATAAACATTTCTTTTAGCTTACATACGTAAAATTTATCAGAGTGATTTGACTAAAATATAAAATAATTACAGTTCAAGTTCAACATTTTTTAAAATATGCCAAAAACGTTTTTTATTGATTAGTTCGTATTAAAATTTCTGTCAATCTTATAAAAAAACTTTGTCTGTTAGACTACTAAACATTAGATTCGTTTATTGCATAATGTAAACAGGTTTGTTTGTTAGATTACTAAAAAAGTTTTCCTTTATTTTAATAATCAAAAAATATGTACCGTTAATTCATTTTTTTTTGCATGATTAATTCCATAATATGTACGAACTGTAAACATTTCATTGGGTGCTCAAAAAGAAAAAGTCTTTTTATCAATGTTTCTAAATATTTTGTAACAATATTCTAAGATTTTTAGTGACAAAACAATGATTTAAAAAATAATTTATATGAGTTCTTTAAAATGTTTTTATAAAAGGAACAATTCTTTACAACTTCACAGCTCTACCAAATCTTCCTCTGAGATGTGGTTTATTAGATTCTTTTGCAAAACGAGGGAGGAATCGTCCTTCGATATCTCTTCCAAACCGTCCGTTAAACCATTGAGTAGCAGCTTCTCTGCCAAAACGTCCTCCAAGCCACTGATCCTCGTTACTTGCTGCATTTTTTTCTCTTCCAAATCGTCCTCGCATTAGTTGTCTTTCATATCTCGCATTCGCAAGTCCTTGGTTTTCTAATTCATCTAATAAAAAATTTACAACTTATGTCATTATTTTATATACTTATAAAACCTAATAAAATAAATGTAGTAGTATAAATTAAAGTCAGAAAAAATTGATGCGACAAAGTTATACCATCGTATTCATTTTCATATTCACTGCTATCTTCATCATCACTGTCTGCCTCATCAGTTTCTCTTTTTCCAAACCTTCCTGACATAAGCTGTTCTCCATTTTTTGTTTCTAAGTAATCATTTACGATTCTTTTTACATCCTTGTTATCTTCTAATGAAAGTTTTTTATCTTCAGATCTTACAACAGCTACAACAACGAACACCAAAGCAAATAACAATTCGACTTTTTTATTGCTCAACATCTTTACCTATGAACAAAAAAAAAAAGTTTTTAAAACCAGTTCTAACTTTTTTTAGATCATTTTATGAGTTACATTAAAGTTTTCGAGTTTAAAAGTTTGAGAAAAACTTAAATGTATATAATACTATAATTTTAAACAAGCTTCTATCAGTCAGTAAATTATTACCTTTTTTTTTAACTTGATGATGACTGAGTGCCTGCACTCTTTTAAGCTTTATGTTTTTTTTTTACGATGATGAGTTATTTATGCTAACCGATCGGAAACAACATATATTTGAAAAAAATCATTGTAGTTTTCTTAATTTATTTAATTTACACAACAAACAGTATTGAATGATACTACGGTAAAATGTTTCAATAGAAATAGTAAAAAAAGTAACAGGATTGCAGGTGTCAAAATTTTTCCATTTTTGGTGCTGTAATGAGGTTACCTTCGATCTCTTTTAATTTTCGTTTTTTTTTTGTTTAACTCTCTATTTTCTTTCTTTTTTCTTTTAATATCCCTTTTCAAATATCCGCTATTTTGTATAACTTACTCATTAAATATGTAATTAAATTTGTCTTCTTTTTAAACTTTTTAGATTATTCTTATTGTCATTAAAGTTCGTCTTATTTGAAACAGAAAAATAGAAGAATTTATTGAAATAGAAGAAGCTATGAAAATAGGGGTGTCACAATTTGCGATGTCTCTACAAAAAAATTTATAATTTATAACTTTTGAGAAAATCTGAATAAATGTTAAACCAAAATGTTTCAACGTTTTCCTGTAAGTTGAAGAACATCCAATTTGATCATAAAAGACTTTAGATATCAAACTACTATGGGCTGGTCTCTGTTAAATGAATAATAACTACGTTAATCAACTTTCGACGTAAAAACTTGAATAAAAAAAAGTAGTTATAAAAAATTAAATAAAAAAGCGTATTTTTTAATTATATATGAGTTTTAAAAAGCGGAAGTATTACAGAACTAAATTTTCAAAGAACATCTCAAAAAATGTGTAAAACAAAACAGTTTCATTGAAAATAATGTGTAAAACAAAACAGTTTCATTGAAAATACACCTCACCTATACACAAATTTATAATACACAATTTTATCGGCAAATGATTAACTTTTTCATAATTGAAATTTTTATATATATTTTAGACCAGAGTAGCAAGATAAGATAAAAATAATATTAGAAGCAAGATAACTCAAGAGAAAAAAAAAAGATTATATATATATATATATATATATATATATATATATATATATATATATATATATATATATATATATATATATATATATATATATATATATATATATATATATACATATATATATATATATATATATATATATATATATATATATATATATATATATATATATATATATATATATATATATATATATATGTATTTATATATATATATTCATATATATGTAAATATGTACGTGTGTGTGTGTGTGTAAATTTTTATAAATAAACTTTTATATTTTTATAAAAATTTGAAAAACTTTATGAAATAGTTTTCATAATTAAAAACATTTTTGCTCTTTGTTGACCTTGAATCAAAAATTAAAACAACGACGTAACTAATTAAAAAATGTTCAAACAATTTTAAAGGTGGAAGGCCTAGGAAAAATTAAAAAACTTGTTCCTAATGTCTTTAACATCTTTAAAAATTCGTTTTTTAGTGTTGAGTCTATTATAATTATGAGAATAATTGAACTTTAAACATTGCGATTTTGTAGCATGTGTCGCTAACTACATATCGTAGCTTTGTAGTTAGCTACAAAATATCTACAAATCTATAGCTGGTTGATAGCTACATATAAAAATTTTTTGACAGAGATTTCATTACGTTATAACGCTAGCTACAATAGCCAGTGGGCTTTTAGCTTTTTAAGCTAGCTGTCCTCGTAGCCAAATCGCTGTCTTTATCTTTACAAATATCCATAGCTTTTTGCTAACTTAAAAAAGCTAGCGGTCCACGTGGCCAAATTGCTGTTTTTATCGTTACGATTACAGCTAGCTATTCGCTAGCCGATTTCCCACTGGGTTAAGAATGTAAATAGCTGTGAAGTCTTTTGAAAAACAGTCTTTCATTTTGACTTGTTAATTACATTAATGGAGACGATCAATGTTTTATTAATTGGTCTAGTTTCATCAGATTTTTTATTCCGTAATTTCTTAGGTTAAGATGATTAAAGTAATTGGTAATAAAATTAATATAGGGCATAGTTTAAAATCTAAACTGTTTTCTCTATTTAAACTTAAAATAAGTAAATTACAAAAAGTACAAAAATACAAATAAGTTTACACTTATATATAACTCTATCACTTATTGTAATTTTCAGAACTGCAACTGTATGAAAACTATATATGTATATATATATATATATATATATATATATATATATATATATATATATATATATATATATATGTATATATCCATGCGAAGCATTTCTTAGTTAATTAGATCCAAAATTTTGAATTTGATCCAAAATTTCTTATCAAACTCTTATCAGTTATGAGAATTGATAAAAAAAGTTATTTTTAGATACTCAATTTTTTTTAATATATTCGTATAAATTTAGCATTTAAAAATTTAATAATTGTTTAAAATAAATTTTTATCAGTCTTCTTCAAACTTGAAACTTAAAAACAGATTTTAAAAACAACAAGATACGCTTATAACTCTTAAAGAAATTGTTCTAATATCTATATTGTAAATCATTTAATCTATTGGAATCAAATATTTATAAGAGGGGCGGTTAACTAATACCCGCGGGACATATTTTATCTAACTAGCAATGTTGTTTTGAACGGCTTGTTGGAGCTGTATGATGAAAAAAAATCTTGACTGAAGAAAAAATTCTCTCAATAAATTCTAATTTATTTGTTACAATTTATCAAATTGTTTTACTGCGATAACATGTACCAAATGAAATGATTTGCCATTTAGATTTTTATATTCAACAAATAATCTTAGTTTCAAAGACATTCTGAAGAAAGGTATATATAATAATTTCGCTTAAACTGCCGCCATTGTTTATTATGATTTTGAGTAATTCGAAAAATAATAGTTCACTCTAATATAATTTCCATCGTTTTTTCCCATAATAAATATATTCTTTGATGTTTAACACAGATGTTTTATAAAAAGGAAATATAATATCCGGTGACTAGCCCGTAAAGGGCATACTACAATGGCATATATAGAAAAAACGCTAATCACGAAAAGGTAGTCTGCGCCTTAATTAAAGGTAAAATTTATTTTACTACCGATTTAAATGAGAGAACCAAATTTAAAATCTTGAAATAAAAAGTTAAAAGTTGAAGTTTAAAATATTTTGTAAATGGAAATAAAATAGAGGTTAAAAAATATTCAATGTTTAAAAATATTTTGTAATTTTTTATTAATAAAATATAAATAACATTTGTCATAGATTTATTTACATTGAAAGATTAAAAAAAAAAAAATTTTTTTACAAAATATTTCAGCATTATACAAAGAAAAACTAAAAATGACTAAATATACTTTTAGAATTTTTTTTAACGTCTAAGCATCTATCTAACTTAATTCTTTTAGCGGAAGGAACGGCTTTGAGATTGTTATCCTTCTAAAAAAATATTGAAATCAAAATGATTATGACAAAATTATTTTTCTTTGAACTTAATAAATATTTATATAAATATTTCACCTTGATATGATCTTGAGAAGAATCTTTAAATTCTTCTGCTAAAAAAACAAAAGATTTTGTGGACTTTTTTTTGGTTCCTACAACACCATTTGATAGGCGAGAAATTTCGTTACTATTTGCTAAAAAGGAACCCTAAAAAATTAAAAAGAAATCTGTTAGCTTAAATTAAAAAAAATTTTTAATTTGGAATTTGTTTAAAAAGTATTACATATACATATATAACTTAAAAAACTTACAGAAGTTTTCTTAGAAACTGATTTACTCTGAGAATGTGAAGGTACTCTTTCTAGCAGTCGTGACTGTGAAAATGCTAAAAGTTTACAAAATTTTTTTTTAAACAAAGATTTATTATAACGAAGATTACTTACCTAAAATTATTTTTTAAATATTATTAGATAAACTCAAAACGCATGAGTCATGCCTAAAAATATTAGGTTAAAACTACGGAAGTAAGAATAGAAAAATTAGGTCAATTTACAAAAGCTATTTTATTGAAGTTTAAGAGAATAAAGACATGTAAAAATCTTTATTTAAAAAAGACAAATATGTTTTTTCTATATAGACGTAAATAAAAACTTTTATTTACGCCATTAAGACGACTAAAAATATGGTAATTAGAAAGAAAAAATTAAGTAACTTAAAAAAAAAGTTACCAGGCGGAGTAAATTTACTGGAATCTTTAATCATATTTAAGATTGACTGACTATTTTCATCTAGATTTGTGCCTTCCGATTGCTTTGAAGAAAGTATTTTGAATTATTTGAAAATATAATATTTTAGGATATTTTAATTCAGTAAAATTCTAATCAGACCTGGAGTTCTTGTAAAAACCTTTCTTTTTGCAACCTAACAATTTTTTGTTCAACATCAGCATCCATATTTAACTCCTCTTCACCATCAGAATTCAAATGCGATGACTGATCTTCAAATCCGGTATCATCAATATTTTGCCACCGAAAATTACGTTTTCTCTTTGCCCCACCACCTAAATCACCGTCTTCAAGATAAAGCTCTTGCAGTAATCTTAACTCATGCTTGTCTTGATCAAGAACTTTTTTCCTGAAAAAATTTTTTTTTTTAATATTAAAATTACTTACTATATAAAACTATTAAATATATTATTGCTATTTATTTTACTTTTTTCTTTTTTTATTTACATTAAATAGTATTTTTGTAAAAACTATATTTACTGGTGAATTCGATGAACTTGTTTTTTTAACTTCTCCTCAGTAGGAAGATCTTCATCAATAGAGTCTTCTTCATACTCATCAAATTCACTTCCTAAATCTTCATCTTCTGACCCTACATCACTGCCTGAAAGTTCAGCTTCGTTTTCATAGAATGCTTTTTTGTTCAACCGTTTTTTCCTTGACAAAAAATATAACTAGCTTTGACGAATTTAATATACAATATATGAAATATTTTAACATTTTATACACTTAAACAAATACCCTTTAGCTTGTGATTCTTTCCATTCTGTTATTTCTTCATTTTCAGAATCATCAGGAATTTTATAATCCTCATTTACCATAGTGTCTTCTAAAGATTCTTCATCAACGTCAGTTTCATTTGTCTCATCCTCGCCAATGTCATACTCTTCGTCGACAATATATTTTTCATTGCTATATGAATCGTTTTCTTTAACATCCTCTTCTTAAAAGGAGATAAACTGTGTGAGTCTACTATTATCGTTATTGCATTATACATTGTTTTACTTCCATTATTATCATTATTACTATTTTTAAATTATTACACCTAAAAATTGATAATAACAACAAGAGCTGAACAATTTATTATATATAATTTTTATAATTTATTTCTTAAATACTTTATAACTAACATCTTCTTACATCATTTATAACTAATAACTTGCATAAATTTTTTTTCCTGATGATTATTGTAATAAAAAATATTGATAAAAACCTTTTGACTGTGATTGAGATGCAGAAAGCTCAACAGAAAAATCAACAGCATTGTCCGAACTATCTACCTCTGATTGTTCTGATATTATAAATTTACCAGAGCATAATCCTATTAAACCAGTGTCTTGAAATTGCTGACTGCTGTCAAACAAAATTGATTTTTTATTGTCATCCATGTTTTGAGAAGAATCTGAGCACAAATTTAAAAGACTATTTGCATTTGCTTCCTTGTTAACTCCAAAGCTTGAACAACTACTCTCATCGTTATTAACATTATCATCAAATCCTGTAGAGCATAAAACAGTAGAAGTTTCATTACTTTTCTTTGAAGTATCAGATGAGATATCAAACAGAGATTTGCTAGATTCTATTGTCTGCATAATGGATTCATTTTTGAAAAACTTTCCAGAACATAAACCTAACACTTGAGACATTGACATTCCAGTGGTGTCAGAAGATAATTCGTCTTCAAATAGCTTTTTTGTTGTTGTCTTAGCAACTTTGTTACTTTGTAAGAATCTGTAAAAAAAAACAGCACTTTCAAAAACTTTCCAAAATATTTTTTACATTTTAAAAAACATGGTATTACTTTTATTACTAATTATGACATTCTAGAAAAATTAAAAGAAAGTGAAAACAAAATGTTGTGGATGTAATAATTAGCTACACAAAAAGAATTATAAAATATACCCTTGAGAATCAAGTATTTGATCAAAATGAGAATCTTCATCAAGAGAAAATGAAAATGGATGCATTTGTGAATCTCTTTTCATAATTATTGGTTCACTTGTTTTGTACAAATCCTAAATAAAACAAAACTTTACTAATAGATTTATTAATGAAGAAAAAAGATCAACCTTGAGCATAATTAGAGTTGAGAAGCTTGCAGTAGAGTTGAGAAGCTTGCAGTAGAGTTGAGAAGCTTGCAGTAGAGTTGAGAAGCTTGCAGTAGAGTTGAGAAGCTTGCAGTAGAGTTGAGAAGCTTGCAGTAGAGTTGAGAAGCTTGCAGTAGAGTTGAGAAGCTTGCAGTAGAGTTGAGAAGCTTGCAGTAGAGTTGAGAAGCTTGCAGTAGAGTTGAGAAGCTTGCAGTAGAGTTGAGAAGCTTGCAGTAGAGTTGAGAAGCTTGCAGTAAAGTTGAGAAGCTTGTAGTAGAGTTGAGAAGCTTGCAGTAGAGTTGAGAAGCTTGCAGTAGAGTCTTGGAGAGAGGATAGCATTGAATAAAAGAGAGTTTTGAATAAAAGAAGTCCAACATAAGCATGTTGGTCTATTTACAAAAATTGTATATAAATCAAACTACTTATGCTAAATTTTGTAAAAAATAGTTTGTAGGTTTATTAGGTCTAGATTATGTATTTTCAGAATAATTAATAAAAAAGGCTTAAAAGCCTTTTTTATTAATTATTCTGAAAACACATAATCTATTTTCATAACATTTTGCGTAATGTTGTAACTTATGTTCTGTTATATATGAATGTTATGTTACTTAAGTTATGTTATATGCATATTATATTAACTTATGGTGTGTGCTATTGTTGTTGTGATGTTGTTGTGATGTTGTTTTTTTTTTTTGTAATCTTTTGAGTTGATGGACATTTGACTTACTTTCACGTTGGTGTCTATTGTTAAAGATGATAAATAGTTAATTTCATTATTAGATCTCACTGCTTTTAATCAATTACTAAAAGGCTACTACTCTGTATTATATATATATATATATATATATATATATATATATATATATATATATATATATATATATATATATATATATATATATATATATATATATATATATATATATATATATTCACTAAAAGCCTACTACTACTACTCTGGTAAATCACAAAAGCTTTTCTCTATCAGGTACATTGATTTCCATTTTTTGTATGTAATGTTTTTCTTATTTACTTATTTGTTACATTTTTTATTTTAGATTTATTAAATGATGTATTTATGTGGCATAAAAGAACAAAATATTTGTAAAGTTTTGTAAATTTTTTTTAAACGTTTACTAATAATTTTTTTAAGAAAATAATACTGAAGTTTGCAAAAAAGGGTTTACTATGTTTGTTTTTTTTTAATTTTTCTGTATTAGCAGTATGTTTATTATTAGAATCATTTACTAATTGATTTATTTAGATTTATTTTTTTAAATCCAAAAAAAAAAATTTAGAAGTTCATTTTTTGTTTAAACATCTAGCTGATATGTTTTTTTTTAAAGTCATAAGTTTATTGTATAATTTTTTTTAAATGACAGCTCTTTATATTTAAAAATGCGTGTGTTACTTAGAGTAGAAAAAAAAAATTATATGGAAAAGATCACAATCTTCAAGAATCTTTCAAGATTTTTTGTTACTACTTTCAATTATAAGTGAAGTTTAAATGGATGATATTAGGTTAGAAGCAGATATTAGTTTAGAAAATGGAAATGTTAATAGGCAAGTTAATCGTAGCAGAAATGAACGAGATGGGCTCAGGCAAGATGAAATTAATAATCTACAATATGCTAGATATACTGCTCGGCAAACAGCAAATACTTTGAACCAAAATGAGGAGAGTGTGGTTAGGCAACTTGAAAATAATTGTAGCAGAAACGAAAGTGATAGGCTTAGGCGAGATAAAATTAATTGTCAACAAAATGCTAGATATGCTGCTAGACACAAAAGAATGCATTGTATAGCAAGAAGTAATACTATTCCAGATTATCATTATTTAGCAGCTATAGACGGTTGCTCAGTCTCAGTTGTAAAAATGTCTTTACCTGAAGGGCAAGATAGACCTCGCTATAATCTCCCTACACATAATGAATGGTGCTCCACCTGCTTCCAGGGAAGTTGTTATTTACCCAAGAGGTCATCCTGTTAAAACTATATCAAGTATGTCTGCCAAATTAGATCCTATGGTTTATTCTCTATTTTTTCCAAGGGGTGATGCTGGTTGGCATAATCAATTGGTTTACAACCCTGAATGTGCTACATTGATTAGAAACCATGTTACATTATCTCAGTATTACAATTATAGACTTTTAGTTAGACAATTAACATAAACAAACTGAGAAGCGAGCAGTGTGATGCCTTACATAAACATGTAAACAACCTTGGAAATGATCATTATGTTAGACCAGGACGTGTTGTAGTTTTGCCATCAACTTATGTAGGAAGTCTAAGAGCTTTATTTAATTTAATTTGTTTAAATATAGTAGTTTTAATAAAAAAATGTTTGTTTTAGGTTTTTTACTTTTCTGTTTTCAGATTTTTAAGCACCAAGCAACTTAGCGAAGCAAGTTTTGTTTTATATTTTAGTACAATAGGAAAGAGCAAAAAACTAATTTTTAGAGCAATTGGAAATAATTAAAGTGATTTTTAGTCACTTCAGATCACTTTATTGTTATTTTTATTATTATTATTATTATTATTGTTGTTATTATTGCTACTATTATTATTATTAGAAGGGTTAATAATAATAAAAATTTTTAGACAGTAGAATTGGTACTGATAGATATATTTTTTTTATTTTAGCTATACTTATATAGCTATATAGCTATATAGCTATATAGCTATATATATATATATATATATATATATATATATATATATATATATATATATATATATATATATATATATATATATATATATATATATATATATATATATATATATATATATAGCTATATATATATATATATATATATATATATATATATATATATATATATATATATATATATATATATATAAATATATATATATATATATATATATATATATATATATATATATATATATATATATATATATATATATATGTATATATATATACATATATATATATATATATATATATATATATATATATAGTTTTATTTTAATCATAAAAATAAAACTAGCAATCTCCAATTTACTCTCATTTAATTCTAATCAATATAAATATTTTGTAAACAAAAAATAGTAAGAATTAGTAATGTTAACAAAGAATAAATAAAGTGTGAAATGGAATCACGCACGGAACAGAAAAACTTCTATTTTAGTTACTAGATAAATAAACTTTAATTCCTCGGACAATATAAGTTTCACCGGTCTACTTTTTTTTTAAAATAATATTTTAAACATTAGTAAAGATTTCCAGAAAGTTTTCTTTTGCACTATGAATCATAGAGTCACAGCAATCATTTAAATGCAGTTTATGAATGATCACACATGAAAGTCATGCACGGATGTTGCAAATTTGTCAATTTCATGTAGTTATTTTTATGAAAATAAATTGCTAGTGAGTATTTCAAGTGAAATATTATACTTCTGTGATTCATATTTAATATATTTTCGATGAGAAACGGCAGTCACCAATTATTTCTAGCTAGAGTATGGCGTTTTGAAAATTATTGTATATTTTTCAAAATGTAGCGATATTATTACTCAAAAAATTAAAATTGTAAAAATGTGTATATTTAATTTATTCAGATAGCCTAAAATATGATATAAATACTTTAGTTATAATTGTTCTTTAAGAAAATCAAAATAGTATGCATATTGCATAAAGTCCCAGCTTTTAATTGCTAAAACAAAGAAAAATAAAAAATCACGCACAGAAATGGAAATGCCCTATATAGAAATAGATATATAGCTATATAGCCATATATCTATATATCTATTATATATATTGTAGATTCTTTGTTAAATAACAATTTATTGATGTAAATAAATGTTTTAAATTTTTGATAAAAAAACTTATATTTATAAACTCAAAAAAAGATATGGATTTTTTTCATTATTCAGTAGTAACAATAGTAATATTACTGGTACTTTGTTTAAAGAATACAGTTAAATTGAAATGTTTAAAGAATACAGTGAAATTGAAATAGCTAATAATAGGGGAAGAATTTATTTGTGTAAATGCTAATACGCAAAAAAAAATAGTTGTCCAAATGAATGAGATGGAGCTAGCCCAGATGAAGTTAGTCGTTGTTGAAATGTACGAAATGCTAATAGGCGAGCAGAAAACTTGCCAGATTCAGTATCAAGCTGTGCTAATGTCTGTTTATTTGATTTTACTTTAAACACTTTAGAACAATAACAGGCATGAATTTTACTATTTATAGTAATAGTTAATAGTTTTAAATTTAAATGATTTTAAATTTTTTTATAAATTCAAACATAATTATGTTCTTTTTTTTAGTTGCCTTTGTCATCACTTGATTAGTTTGCTTACTATTGAAACATGGTTTTAATTTTGTAAATTTAATGATATGAAATTTACTCTATTAATCATCAGTCGACAGTTAGAGAGAAGCTGGAACTTTACATAATAAAGGTAAAAATAATTTTATTTACTGGTAACTTAATAAAACCAGTTAATATTATTTATTGCCTATCTCTTTTACTTTTTTTAATATGCTGCTTTGGAAATAATCTCTCTCCCTTTTAGATGAGAGTTAGATGAGAATTAGTACTTGGAGCATCAATAATACTTATAAAATTACTGACCTCTTACGTGTTTCTTAATACCAAAATTGATAATGACCATGTATATAAAATATTTTATGAGCTGCTTGCAATTTTATGATATAATTGTTCAAGTTGTTTAACCATAACTATTCAATATTGTAATAAATAAAATCTTTTAAGTTCAAGTATTTTAGTTGATAAAATATCTTATTAACTTGTCTAGCCTTTTTATAATTTTTTCTTTTTTAATTATTTTGGAGAGACATAGTATTGTGTGTTTACAAATATCTTATGCTATGTATTATTGTTACTGTGTTTTATGATGATAGAATTGGGCTGTTACAGCGATTTTTAAAGTC